TACATGGCTTTCAAGTTCCTTATCCTTCAAATGCGATTGATGTTCCTGACTATGAAGTACATGAAATTGAAAGAGTGCGTGTTTTGTTACTATGCTGGGCTGCAGATCAKCCAGGCCAATGTGAGTTTGGAAAGTTCTTAAACCAGGGGAAATGTGCTTGCAGGAGATGTAAGATGGCAGGGCAGCAAAGTCTTCAATCAAATCACTATTATTATGGTGATAACCGTTTTCATGCTCGGCATCCGTGGGAGAAGAGAGATGTAACTACAGAAGAGAATACCTTTTATGATCTAGACAATGAAAACCGAGTAAGTGTACGAAAGCAACTGTCATCAGTGAAGGGATTTACTGGAACTCCAATCTTTCACCAATATTTGTATCCTCTCTACAAGTTTGACTGTATTTATCACATGGTTTATGACATATTTCATACTCTTCCTTTGAATATATGCAAAAACCAGATTTCAAMACTYTTGCAGCTAGAGTTATTAGATACTGTGTATGTAGATGAGCAAATTCAACAATTTCCTTGGAATGCAGAATTTAAACAAGGACGRATTCCCACTTCAATTGGCAAAGAATGSAAAGGACTTGGATATTATAAAGCAGAATCATTTCAGAAATTTTTCTTTCRAATGCTAGGATGTATTGTAGAGAATAAGATTTCTGACCCTAAAGAACTAGAAGTGATAAGTTTAGTTTCCTACCTAACGGAACTGCACTTCTATAGTGGAAGGAATGGCTGGACTGATAGTATGATACAGCTTCATAAACAACTTGCTCAAACACTGGTTATAAGAATTGAGGAGACACAAGGGTTAGAAATGTGTACKATATCAGTACACAATATTACACATGCACATGAAGACCTAAGAAACTTTGCGTCATCAGACAACTATTGGTGTGCGGTATTTGAACGAGCTGTAAAGAAATATGTKGGGCGCTCACACAACTGTAAAGGTTTAGAAATGACATTTGCAAAAGCAGAATGTAGAAGAGAAAGCTTGAAAAGTTTGGAAGCAAGGGATAATATCCCCAATSAAGGACATGATCACAAGGTTGAGGTATGTGTCATGAATSTATCTTTTTGGTCATGTGACATTTTGTTAAATTTTAAGTAATAAAGAATGTAATAAAATGTTGACATATAATACAAATTCTTTCATTTGCTTATCAGGGAATTGTCAAGTCTGAGGATGAGGCTAGGAAGATCTGCACAGCTACCAAATGTGAAGGWTTGCTAATAGGCCCAAGAAAATCTAAAGTCATTGAGTTAACAGAGAATGAATGCTCTAACATCAATTCGATGTTATCACCTCCACAGCCTGTTCAATCGGTATCTAGAATTGCAACTACTGCAGAGAAATGTTTTTTGAGTAATGTTGGATTTAATGGCTCAGTCTTTTCAAGTGATGACAATATTGCTGCCTTTTTGGAGGATGGTGAATGTATTGTCRAGATCAAGCAGTTCTTATTGGTAAGATATGGAGTAGACAACAATCACACCATTTTAATTGAGGGTTATATACAACCATTTAACAAATCCCCTGAAGGCGAAATTGATGTTAATCCATGGAATGGCTTTCCTAAAGTCAAAGTACAACCACATGATAATACAGTTATCTTTTTAAATCAATGTGTCAAGAGAAAGGTGATTTTATACAAGCATGCTCAAACAAGTCTTCATACTGTTGTGGATTATGATAGACAATTGAAAGATGTTCCAAACCTCGTGGTCCCTGTGTACCCAGAGAGAGATGACATGTTGTTAATTCAAGGGGAAAACCAGGGGGATGTTTGGTATGGTAGAGTTTTAAGTGTTGATTTATCTAACAAGACAGTTGAGGTGTATTTTTATGTGGAGAAACAACAACGTCCCAACAGATTTGTAAGAGAAAGCTTTTCCAGGCAAGCAAGAAATACTGTTGTCTTTGATTCTATTCTTGGCATTGCAAATGGTCACTGGATAAATGGAAACACTTGGCAAAAGTCAATCTAATAAATTTAACTTTGAAGTTGTGGTTTATAGCTGAGCACAATTTTATTCAACGTACATGTAAGTGATCATAATTTATATTAATGCCTATCAATTAATGATATAGGCCTAACCAGAATCTATTTTTAATGTAGAATGTTTAAATAATCATGCATTAATGTGGCTCCTGTATTTTGTTTCCCATTGATGGGATTATATTGGGTAACTGTATGTATTGCATTCCCAGTTTTGGGTTT